TAAAAATATCTGTTTGTTGTAAAATAGGACCACCGTGAATAGAGCGCCTTGAAAAATATCCTTCCCGATGGCTGACACGATATCAGACGGTTGCACTTATCCAAAATACAAAATGCAAACATATTCTTAATCTGTAGACGTGTGGCTATCGTCTGAACTAGAATAATAAAAAAAATATTGAGAAACAAAGAAATGGCAAGGTTTCAAAGAAATTGCTCTCGATTTTGGCAAAAGAAATCATGGTTTTTATGACCGCAAAGACTGAATTTTGAAAATATTTGCACAATTCTAGTTCAAACGATGAAGCACCATCTACTGAATATACCTGACAAATTTGGAGTGGATCGGACTTTTGGTTCTTTGGTAATCGTGTTAGCCAGTTTCAAAAATGCTGTTTCGAGAAAAACGCGTTTAAAGTTTTAACTACAGTTTAAGACTATATAAAACCGTTTCCTTTTAAAGCATATACCTCTGCCAATTTTGAGATTTAAGCTTTAAAACTTCGTAGACATATTTTCGAGGTGTTAAACTATAAAAAAATACAAAAAAAAAATTGCTTTTCTCAACCCGTCACTGTAGTAGGAAGATCCCTTAAGTCATTTCTGTTCTAATCCTGGCAAAGTATTATACATTGGATCCTGGCAAAACAAGTACAGTAAATTCTCCACAAGTGTCAGTCCGCAAGAAACCTAAACCTTTTTTTTTTTTTTAGGGTCCGAAACCACCGCCGAGTTGGAGTGCCTCAGCCCGGGCGCAGGGAATCCGTCTTGCGACATAGGCGTCCCGCGCCCGGCGTTGGGTGGCCGGTGGCAATAAGGTTAAGTTAGCTTAGGCCCCTCTACTTTTCTCAACTGGGCTTGGGACCAGCTATGGCAGTCGCCCCCAAGTCGGTACGCCCTCCCAGTGGGACTCTGGGTGGCCGCCTTCCAGGGGGGGTTAGGCGCAGTTACACATCGCATATATAATATATACACTCCCGCGAAATGTCCCCACGTGCTTGTTTGTCCCTGTCCTTTTAGCACTACCTATAGAACTGCCCTGTCTTAATACATACCCACCCTTGGTATATATGTACAAACACATTCACACACAATTTAATTCCCTTCCCTTGAAATCCCCACATGCATTAAAACCCCAGAGGTTCATTCACACGTCCTCGCACTCAGACTTTGGGGAACCTAGACTTTGGGAAATCAAAAATTTGGGAAATCAAAAATTTGGGAAATTAAAAATATAAACAATTAAAAGAAATTGTGCACTTTTTCCAAATATGTAGAATTGGTCTAAAAAGTCTGTAAAATTAGTACACCAGGAAAAAGATCCTCCCGCGATCCTACGATTCCACGTTCCTCGAAATCGGTCAACGCACGTTTCACGCTCGAAAAGAATGCACCGTTGCATAATGCAGTTCAGATGATTCTTTTCCCGATGGGCGACAGTGCGCAATATTTTCGTGACCCCCAGTTGACTCGTAAAAGAAACCGAGTGGTGTAGCGTTACACGCTTGACTGACAGCGAGCGAGATAACATAGGCGCAGCAATGACGCAGCCTAGGCGTAGGACCATCTATACTGACTCTTGTAGAATCCAAGCTGACTGACACTTGTAGCGAATTTGCTGTATTGAGATATTTGATAGAAACATGTCATTGTACTATCACATATAGCAAGGATGAAGAAAATCTCAGGGCCTACACAGATTTAGACTGGTCTCGAGTGTACAGGAAATGTACTGGCATAATCTGGGAGGTCCAATCATCTGGAAGACTAAGAAACAAGCTTCGTAGCATTGACAGAAGTGTCGCGTGAAGAAATTTACATAAAAAAACTTTTCTCTCAGATGGGTTCCAAAAAATATGTAACAAATCCAGTAAAGATATTTTGTAATAATCAAAACGTGATGACAGTTAGCATATATAAATTTTGTTTCACTCGAGAATTGGTTGAAGGAGGAGAAATTGTAATACAGTATTTTAAAACAGACTCGATGATTGCTGACATTTTCAAATTCATGACTGCTGACAAAATCCTTAACTAAAGATAAGCATGACCGTTGCACAAAAATGTTAAATTCGTGCTAAGTAAAAACAGAAGCTAGTTTTCGATTGTTTCATATCGCTTTCAAGAGTACACATCGTTAGAGGGGGTATTGAAGAAATATATACATAAATCGATAATGTACCCTGTAAAACCGTGCAATCAACGCTCGTTAGATGGAATCGATACGTGTGACGTCACCTTGCGTTGTGTTACTATTTTTTTGTCGATACAATGTGAGCGTCCAAAGCGTATGCGTGGCGTCAGTTACACATATTAACAATAAACAAGTTTATTAAACCTCGCAACAGCATAAGTCATATTTTCAAAATATTTCACTTTACGCCTTAATTGAGACCTAGAAGACAGTATTTGTGTTCTCTGAAGGAAGAAAATGCGTCGGAATAATTTTTTCATTTCAAAATAAAGAGTGTAATAAAACAAATGTTCAAAATTTATTCCATGCGTATCAGGCAAATAAACTTAAGTCCATAAATTTTAGATTCACTGATTTATTATGTGAAAAAATTAATAAATATATTTGTGTCATAGTTTTGTTGCAACAGAAGTAATATTATATAGTTTACTAAATATCTATATATTATATGCTTATACACATTTATATAAAATAAAACTGTAAAGATATGTAAATCGAGTAATTCCATATTAAAATGTAGGTACATTAATTTTTTCTTGTTTTCGACGAAAACGCGAAAATGTCGGGTCGAGGATTTTTCTCGAGATCGAGTTGGGTTCCTGAAAGTATCTCGAGATTCGAGAATATCGGGGTTTCCCGGGAATTTCGAGAACCCGAATCACGTTTAGAGACTAACTTAGATCGCCTATGGTCGTACTCAACAAAACTCGAAACGTCGTTTGCATTCTCGAAATTCTGGGGAATCCCGAAATTGTCGAGTCGCAAGATACTTTCGGGAACCCGATCCATCCCGAGTATCGGGCACCTGACACTTTCGCATTCTCGCACACCTCTAATATTAAATTTTTTCCACGCTATTTCTTCACCTATACTCTCTGAGTCGTTGTTTTCTAGCAAATCTATGTCAGGATCAGTATTCCGCAATTTTTTCTTTGTCGATAAACTGCTGTAAAAGGGTGAATGAGACATAGCGTATTCAATAAATCCTTTTTTTTCTTACGAAATGTATAAAGGCCCTCCATAAAGCAGTTTTACTTTTTATCCAGATTGTAGTCGCGTATAATAAAGGAATGTTTACATTCCAATTGGAAAATATACCGCAACTTCAGTACGACCAGGCAGAACTCATGCTGCTTTTCCTGAAGTAATCTTACATTCTCATTATTCTGCTTAATACTCTGATTTATTGTTTATGCCGATGAAAACAATAGCGAAAATTATGTAAATTTAGATAAGACATGCACATATGTATATCATTCTTGGTCCGGTAGCAATAAAAAATAGATTTTTAAAACTTTAAACGGTAACATCTCCAAAGTAAAAATATGTGACTTATGTATAATACATACATCGTTTTACCTTACAACCATAGACCCGTTTATCAAATATTCTGTATTTAAAAAATAAATAACTTACTCATGCTTATGGCAATTATCCAGAAAAAAGAAAATGGGAAACAAAAAGCTAAGAGTAGCTCTGCAAATGATCTGTCCAATTATGTATACTTCTTCTGCTTGAAAACCGCAATGCACATGTAAATGCTTGTAACTACATATCTAATAAAGATTGTTGATGCAAAATTTAATTGAAATCTGAAAATATAACTTGAAGTAGTTCTTTCCTAATGAGATTTCATTAAAAAAATATATATGTACATAAATCTATGGTTTGAGAATTTTTTTAAGGTTATACTAACTTCAACAATGCATTTTGCAATACCTACTATTATTGGTTCAGTATTTTAAAAAATTTCTAATCAGTAGTTTAAGTAAATGGTCAGTGTGTATAATAAAATATCCTAACCTAACTCAACCAAAAATTTAAATTTTATTGACCAAAAAGCAAACGAACACCGACCAAATAAACCAAATTGTATTAACAAAATGCGATTTTATACTCACAATAAATTATTTATACGGGCAAAAATATTCATTTTAAAAAATACTTAGCATTAATTAAAAAAAGTACTGACCAAATAAATACAAGTGTTTTTCATTCAGACATCTTCCTCAAACAACAAAGGCTATTTATAATAGAAATTCGCTGCAACTTGGTTACCTCGTATATTGCAAATTAAAATAGTTTACATCGCAAACATGAAATAATTCGCGAACAAAAAGACTTTTATACTATGCCAGGCTACTTGCGTGTAGTACACAGTAAGATCAATTGTACGACGTTGTTGCTTCATTTGCATAATCACCGTAAAAATACGTTGCTATATGTGTAAGTATGCATGTATAGGTTCTCACCGTACCGATGGAAAAACCCGAGTATAATGTTCCATGAAAAAATCAGTCGAAAGTGTAGGATTATATTTTTTTGTACGGAGCTTCGTTTTCGAGTAAATCGATGTTGAAAATTCACCACGTACGCCTGCGCTTACACGTGATCTTACATTTGCCTCAGTCTAACGAATGTCGCTACAGACTAAACTGTATTATCACTAATATTTGCCTTATTATATGACAAAGGGTTAACGATAGAATAGTACTGTTTCTTGTTTAAAAATAATTGAAAAAAATTTGTGTTCCACTCAGTATAATCGTATTCGTTCTTTTCGAATTGACTCGCCAATTCGGTAACATCCTGCAGAAGTAAACATTTTGTAAAACATGTTGTACGTTCTCGAAAAGTTATCTACTTATTGTAAAATAAGGATTTTCTCATCTTGAATTCTGTCAAGGTATTCAGAGTTTAGTATGTAGACGCATATACACGAATGTAATCAACGTTAGTATAATGTTAATGCATGTATGTAGATATGTACGCAATAGTAGTCTCTGTTAGATATACTTTATACCCACAATCGATGATGCTTTTAAAACAATGCTGAGACTCGTTTTGGGGACAGAGAACTATGTCAAAATAAGTTGCTCGGATGTAAGGGTCGTTGCACTCTCTTGTGTGACCACTCCTCAAATCAGTGTTGCATTCGTAACACCATAAGTTTTCTCCTCCCGCGTGCTCTGTTAAATTATTCAATAATCATCTCTTAATTCGTGGATATTTGGTAAATAGATTATTCAACTTGAGAAAAGTTGAGAAGTGAACTTATGGCAAAACAATGACAAAATGAAAAAGTTCATTGAAAGAATTAGAAATTATGTGATTTTTTATCTCGACATACAAAGTTTTTATTGTATTACTATTATTATATTAATGCTTTGCTGTTATGCTTCTGTAACTCTCATCTGAAGATAAATTGCCAATATACAAAAGTATGCAAAAGTATTGCTATGCTGAAAAAATCAAATAAGGAGAGTGATTAAATTGTTTAGGACAGATTAGGCGGTATATCCATTGGATATAAATCTTAATGGAAATAGTAAAACAATATCCTTCATTTTGAGGATTAAAAATAATAATAAATGTATGCAAGGCAAATGATCAAAATTTGATCAAAAAACTTTTTCCTTTTCAAGAAAGGAACTTTTTAAAATAATTACAGTAATTAATTTTTATGAAGTACAAATTTTGAAGTATGCATGCCTCAAGGAAAAACAAATAGGATATTTGTTTTACTCTATTAAAGTTATT